TTGATGCACCAGGCTTTCAGTAATAAATGAAAGCTCTGAGCCTTGATCGATGAGGATTCTTGCGATGGTGTAGAATCCGCCGTTGGAGAATGCCCTGGCTTTTGCCGTAGCCAAGAGCACTAGTCGTTGATCCGTTGAGTTGATGGACAGCGTGTTGTTCTCTACGTTGATTCGTGTTAATGATTCTCGATCCGTTGAGTTTTCATTGACGTTGACTGTTGATGAGCTGTTGATTGTGCCTGGTCGAATGTGCAAGGGGGATCAGTGTTCTGAGTGATGTATGTGAATATAATAAATTAAACACTCACACCTGATTCCTCCCTCGTTGCTGGTGCCTCTGGAGCGTTGTTGGATGAGGTGCTGGCTTCACTCCTCTCCTGGTCCAGATGCAGCATCGTGTGATGGCGTTGTTGGCATTTAAAGCAAGCCTTGCTGCACTTGCATTTTGCCACCGTGTGCGTGCCGAAACAGTTGAAGCACAGACGCATGCCTGTGATGTATTCCAATCGTTTGTTTGCTGGAAGGTTTTGGAATCCTGGGCACTTTCCTATGGAGTGCCTGTCCCTGCAGTATGCGCAGCAATCAGCAGGTCTGGATTGCTGAGTGTCGTTGCGTTGAGGGGCTGATGTCTCAGCCACATGATGTGCACGTGCCCGTTGTGTTGGTTTCACTTGTGGCGTTGGGTTCACTTTTCGTTTCGGTGAATCTTGTTGATCATCTGGAGTCATGCCTCTGGCAGTTGACTCCAGGAAGTTGACCAGCTCTTGCAGGGGGACGAAGTTCGTTGATGCACCCAGCTTTTGCTCCCATGTGGTGCGTGTGTCCGCCTCCATGGAGCGTTTAAGCAGGTGGAAGACAAATTGTTCACCCAAATTTTCTTTTGGTATCCCAGCTCTGTTGATGACCTGATCCACTGTTTCTCTTGCAATGTGAGCGTTGTTTATCATTGCCTTGACATCTCCCTTGGCCATCGTTGGCAAGTTGAGCACCCTGTTGAAGAGATGCCCTGCAATTAATCGTGGATTTTCATGGTGGCGTTGAAGTTTCTCCCAAGCTTTCTCAAAATTGGCGTCTGTGGCCGTGAAAGAGGAGATGTGCTCCGCTGGTGGACCCTGGAGAGCTTCCTTTAGCCTCACCAGTTTCTCAGCTGGCGACATGTCAGGTCGTCTCCCCACTAGGTTCTGGAAGAGATCGGAAAATTCCTTCCATTGTGAGAATTGTCCTCGAAACGTTGG